AAACCTACGTTTTGCTTTTAAAAACATTCCTTGGACAATGAAAAAAATTAGGAAATCGTTTTGTTTGTAGTATATTATTTTTTTTGGTTAACGGGGTTGATTTTAGTACTAGTTAAACTGTTGAAATAGATACATGAAATTAAAGGGGATATTAGGATCCCCTGTCGAATCCGGAAATAAAGCCAAAGTATTAAGGCTATTAATATTACAATCCAAAACAAGTCTAGAAAGGTAGTTCCTAGGATGTCTGCTCAAAAAACTTTATTCGCATACATCGGAGGAACTACCAACATAGTCAATTTTCCAAAAATTGCCTTCCTAGCTACTTCCTTTGCTAGAAGATCAGCTACTCTGTTTTGTTCCCTGTAGTTGTGCTTGATCATTATCCTATCCATCCTTTAAATCAGCAACCTGCACTCAGAGATAATATGATGGTAAATGTCATTACCCATGTTAAGTATTCTTATAACCTCGGTAGAGTCCGTGGCTATTTCAAATGGTGTGAGATTCCACTGTTCAGCAATTTGCAAACCCCATAGAAGAGCTATTAGTTCAGCATGAGTGTTAGAGTTGTGTGATAGGTTGTTGATCACGCCCAACTATGCCTTATAAAAAGGACTAAGCGGTCGTTGCAAATATAATCCGATTTACAAGTCCGGAGTCGAATCTCACAGGGAATTAACGATTAATCACAACTTTTAGTTCAGCAAGAATCCAAATAATCAACTTCCAACATGATTGAATAATGACTTGAGTGTTTACTAATAATTAACAAGGTAATTAAAAAGCTGTAAATTTTTATTACTAACAAAGCAACTGTTGTAGACAAGATTAGGAAGATCTAGAGTTACGACTTCCCCTCTTATCGAAATCCTCCCTGCTACGTCTGCTACAAATTCGCCTAGATACTCTCTACCGATCGTGAGCACTTTAGGTGTCGTAATTCTCTTCCGAGAAAATACAACAATTTACTAAATGTATTCTTCCGAATTACGCTAGCTAGCACTAGTTTACCGCTCACTACAATCGCACCAAGGTTTCGTTATTCCTAAACCCACCTTTAAACCCTCCGTATTGATCCATCATATACGTTAGGAGTGATGTTGTTCAACGACTACCTAAACGTGTGCCCTTTTCCGAGTAATACACACTAAATAGGCATAGCCAATTGAGGGCCCTTCAATCAACCACAATAATCCTGTAGTTGAATAAGTAGAGAAAATTTCAATGGCAAATTTATATTAAACACAACAAAGATTCATCCTCCAAGAGGTTCCATCAAACCCTAGAATAAAGAGTTTAGCTACTCATAATATTTTTCACAATCACAACATAAGAATTCATCATCAATGATAAAAAAAAAAAAGGGAGAAAGAAAGATAAAAACTCGTTTCCAAATCTTCCGTCTCGCTCCTTGCCTGTTCTTGCCTTCAAAGTTCTTCTAAAAAACCATATACCCTCTTTTTGGACGAGCTGGGCTTCATATAAGTTAAGGATGGTAGCCTCTGGAATTACAATTTTAGCCTTGGAATATTTTTTTCTCGGAGGGATACCTGGGCTGGTGACCGCGCATCTGACCGTGCACTTTGGCCAGTTTCTGCCTGACTTGCACGGCCGCGCACCAACCGCACACCTGGGCAATTTCATGCACTCTTCTTCATTCTTCTTTTTTTAAGTATGCTAACATCCTTCGATCCACAAATGGGATCCCAATTTATTCCATAAGCTTTTACTTTGCCTTCAATCCTCCATATTAGCTCCAAAATGCTCCTTAACTTCATCATAGCCCGGAATTTCTCTTGCAAAGCCTAAAGTTCTCAATCAGAGCAATTTATTATCATTTAGCTCTCAAACTTTAATAAAGTGCAGCCAATTTAGAGTGCCAATAGTGGCCAAACTACATAATTATAGCCTACTATCAATACCCCACACTTAAACCATTGCTAGCCCCTGAGCAATCAAACCACACACTACATAGACACAACTTCACTAAACGACTTTCCTAACTCGTCACACCAAGAATATTTCATATAGATTAAGCACAATAGTGTAACATCTTCTCCTCAAGAGTTGACTTACAAGTACCACGCATTACTCCCAACTTACTCACTTACTCTAGCACTATGCCAAGAATTACCTTCCTTCGTGAATCAACAAAAGACACTCGTCCCACAATTAATAAAATTCATGAACAATGAAGAACTTCAAAATAGACAGAATTCACTCACTCTCAGAAACGATACTCATGTGCCACAAAAGATGCTCCATAGACTTGCCCGTAGTGTACTACTCTACTAATCGAATTTATTTAGTCAAGGATCAAGTAGGACTTTTTACTGGTTGTAATGTAGCCTACGGGGCGGGTAGGATACATTTGTATAAAAGAGTGACTCAACCTCCCTAAGCACTTTGCTACATACATNCAACGAAACTAACACTACTCTACATTACTATATACATACAACATACATACAAAATATCCCCCACCCCACACTTTAAATGGTGGCATGTCCCCATGTCACACAAAATAAATTTGCAAGGTAAAGGAAACTTCCCTGGTAACGTCAGTCCTAGTCGAAGACAGTGCCGGGGTCAAGATGGCAAGCCCTGCCAAGTGCACGCAGCCATACCATGACCTTCCTCTCAGATTTTGCATTTTAGGTAGCCAGTGCATCAACTCGAGCCCCCAAGTCCATGACAGAAGTCTGTAACCCTGCTATTTCATGCTCTAAGGCCGCCATCTGTGTGCTTCTTCTTACCACGGATATTCCCTCAGCCTCAGCAACCTGCTCGTGCGGGGGTGACACAGCCACATCCTCAGCCTGCCCTTCGTATCACTCATCTAGCGCATCAGACTCATCGCTATTTGCTTCGATAGGTGCCACAGGATCCTTCCCAATGGTCACTTTATCAGCCCGAAACTTCTGTTCTTTTTTAACTTTTCCATCCAAGTTCCTGTTCTCCAGTACACGTACAGCCCGGCATAATCTAGTGATTGTGAAGGAAAGAAAAACCCATACCTCTGCACTGGACAACGAATGAACATTTCGTCATGAATAACCTTAGCCACATCAAAATCGTGGCCATTGATAAAGCAACAGATCAGTGCAGCTCGGGGACCATTCTCCCCAGTGGTGTTAGAAGAAGGCAGTAGGTGGCTATTGATGATATAAAGCCAACACTTCCCTTCAAAGGTGAGCGAAGCCGAGTGAAATTTCCGCCCCTGCGTAATCCACACTACGTCTTTGTTTGGCACACAGATTGTTCTAAAAAATAAATTCCAGGAGGTTGGTTCTCTACTATATGTATCATAATAGTCTTCCTCCCCACCAAATACTGGCAACCGGTAAGCCCTCCTAATGGCATCAATAGATGCATCCATATTTTTCTGTCATACCGTGCAGACAAGGTCCACATGTTCCGAGCAGTTCGTGTAGAACTACCGCACAACCATTAAATTGGCGTCATCGTGTTCTTCAAAGAAAATACCCAGCTCGCGTCTAACCAATTCCTGATACATATTGGGACATTTATTCTGGAGGGACCCCATATTAATTCTCCATTCCGGTATGGGTTTCTTAGGGGCCTTCTGACTAAAACGTTCCTGGGCTGAGCTGGATACGAACCTTGTGTTGTCAAACTGAGGTGCATTGGTCGAGGCCCGCACCCAGGATGAGCCTGCGTCACCACTAGAAGAGGCGCATATGGTTCGTCATTTCTTGGAAGGTGTCATACTAACTGAAACAAATACCACTATCAGTAAAAGGCACAATGTGTGAACCAAGAGCGGTTACTCAGACCTCACCAGCACAATTGATCACAAAATTACATTCACGAACTCACTGTGGCATTTATACAAACACTTGATGTGCAAGTGCACCCAAACACCCAATTATAACCTCAATTCCACCACAAATATACCAACATCTAATCCAACCCAACAAGATGAGATTCAACTATCACCTCACATACAAACAAGTATACTAGCAATACAAAGAAAAGAAAAGAACAACAATGAATTCTACGACAATACAAAGAAAAGAAAAGAACAACAATGAATTCTACGACAATACAAAGAAAAGAAAAGAAAAAAAATAATAATAAATAAAAACTAACTAAATTAAGAGGGAAACAGAAACCATGGCACTTACCTGAGGGAACTTGTGAGGATTTTGGTTGGGAAGTGATTGAGTGGGAGAGATGAGGGGAAGGGTGTAGGTTTTGATTTTGAAATTGGGGAGAAGGGAGGGTTTGGGCGTTTGTTTGTTGTGTTTAGAGAGGGGGG